GCCATTTCGCATGTTCCAGGGGCAATACCATGAACATGCAAACAGGTCAAGAGTAAACACACCTGAATCCTAGTCTGTTGTTATTTAGATAATACCAAGGCCAAAACATCAGGAAGTAACCAAGCCTTAGGTATTTTGACTTATTGAGGACAGTTTTGAATTCTCTGTCCTTGAAGCAAGATGAAGGGGAGCCATTTTTATAGACCTGGACAAATGATGGTGATTCTTTCCAAGTGGTAATGTGGTTCTTAAACAAATAGAATTGATCCCAAGGGTTTTGGAGTAGAACACATCTGTCTATTTATTAGCACTGGGGATCAAATCAATGGCCCTATGCATGCCAGATAAGCTCTACCACTGAGCTACATCCCCAGACCATAGATCTCAGTTTTAACCTCAGTTTCATCTCTTCCTTTTCTGAGCCTCAACTTCTCCTCTGTAAAATGGGATAAATTCTGACATCCCAGGGCTATTTGAAAATGAAGTAAGGTCACAAGGATCCTGGTATGATATCAAATGCTCCAAACTGAAGGGACCAGACCCTTACCAGCCCCCTGCCTTGGCAGCCATGATAGCCTGCAGAAAAGACCCAGCAAGATGTAGGCCTCTGACTCAGCAACATGTGCTTATCTTCTGACCTTGCCCAACCTTGCCCTAATCACTAGGAAGCCAGATAGTCTCCATGAGGCAAGGAACCAATCAGAAGTTAGCTGGCAGGCTCTGGATGTGTTTTATGGTAACAGTGGATTGCAGAACACAGCAACTGCCCTGGGAGGGCTTCTAGGCCATAGCAACTATTCCTGCTTGTGCAGTTGACCAATCAACACAAGACAGGTCGCCCGAACCCAGAAATGCACCAATCCCAAGACTATATCGGACCCCACAGACACTCCCCTTGCTCTATCCCAATAAATTCCCTGCCCCACAGTCCCTCTAGATCCTTCTCCCTCCACCCACTGTGCTGGACAGACAGAAGACTCAAGTTAATACAGTTAACTTGTTAATTAACTAAAGACTTTTTGGTTTTACATCTGATCAGGTCTCTTGGTGATTTGGGGATTCAGAATTTGGGCACATCAATTTTAGTTCTCGATGTTGTTGTTGAGTATGACAGTTCATCTTCCGTGTCAAACTCAATGGATTTGGTATCACCTAGGAGACACACGTGTTTGTATGTCTGTAGGTGAGTTTCTGGAGAGGTTTAGCTGAGGAGGGAAAAGCCACCCTGAACACTGGCAGCACCATTCATTGGTTGGGATCCCAAACTATGTATCTGAGCATCAGCATTCACCACTCTGCCAGCATCCTCATCCTCCCACCACCATGCTTTTTCATGATGGACTGTATCCACTTCTTTAAAATATATATATATATGGTAATGTGTATAACTCTGACCCTAGTGGACTGGAAGAGGGCTAGGGTAGAATTCAGTAGCCCAGTGCCCACCTACAAGGTCACGGTGCTCATCTACAAGGTCATAGTGTTCACAGTCTCATCTACAAGGTCACAGTGCTCACCTAAAAGGTCACAGTACTCACTTACAAGGTCATGGTGCTCACCTACGAGGTCACAGAGCTCACAGTGCTCACAGTGCTCACCTACAAGGTCCTATATTTGAGTCTTAGCATTGAACATTTGGGTTTTTGGTTTTTGTTTTTGTTTTTTAAGAGAGAATGACAAGGAAAAGGCCTGGAGGGATGTCCATTAAAAGGTGATTAGTGGCTCTCTCTGGGCAGTGTGGTTATGGATAATATTTTATTGTGTCTGTTATTTATTTATTGTGAGGATAGGGCACATGTGTGCCAAAGTGTATGTGGAGGTCAGAGGACAACTTAGAGGGGGTTGGTTCTTTTCTTCCATCTTGTGTGTTTTGAGGCTTCAATTCAGGTCATTGGTCTTGGCAGCAAGAGCCTTTACTCCCTCACTGGCCCTAGATATTTTTAATGTGGTTTTTTGTTTGTTTGTTTTTTCTACCAGCATTCTTTAAGTTACCCACAACAAAGCTGTTACTTTGTATTAATACTACTTGCATTACTTAGTGACACCCTAAAATAATTAAAACAGAATCTAGAATAATCCTTGGTCTTTGAGTCTTGGGTATGCAAAATGGCCATGGTCAAAGGCAAAGAAAGGGGCTGGGAACAGACAGACACAGACAATGCCTTGGGCAAGCTTACACGAGCCCACTGAACTATGCAGACATCCTACCAGGTCCCACATATGTCTTGGTCCATTGTCTGCTAGTATGACAGAATACCCAGGAACGGATGATTTGTAAAGAAAAGAGGTTGAGACCTCTCCTCTTCCCTGTAACACACAGGCTGCTTGTGATTTTTGGTGATGAGTTCCCAGAAAGGCGATGTGGCTCAGTCCAGTCCTCAGAAGCACCAGAATACGTTCATCTTCAAAAATGACAAGTTCAATAAGAGTGTTCAGACCAAGAAAATCAATGCAAAACTTCATGATGGAGTATGTCAGAACTGCAGAAGTCCTTGAGTGTTGTGTTAAATACAACAAGTACAAACCACTGTCAAATGCTAAGAAGTGTGATAAATGTTTACAAAAGACAGTGAAGGACTCTTACCACATAATATGTAGACCATGTACTTGTGCACTTGAAGTTTGTGCAAAATGTGAGAAGAAAGAAGACATTGTTATTCCATTTAATAAAGAACCCGAAACTTTAGTAAATACTGAAAATCCAGGTTCTAATGGCAGAAGAAGTCGCAAAGGGACAGAGGACAGTGACGAGGATGTGGATGCTGGCACTGCCTCGGATGATGAAGACAGAGGCACTTGGGTGGTCTGACATCGCGGGCACAGCTGCAGAGCGCTCAGCGCACACTGACACCCTGATGATGCAGTCAGGACAGGCAGAATTGACACATGAGCAATGATAGTTATTTATAACATTTGAACAACAGACACTTTCAGGTTTTCACAATAAACCTTGGGCTGCATATACAGAGTATGTGTGCAATCTTACTGTGGCATGTTGTACAATCTATGGAAATTATTTAGAAAAACATAACTATCTAATGTCCAGTGTTCAGAGTCGGTGATTGTATCAAAACTTAGAAAAATAAGATGATTAGCTCACAGCGAGTACACTTCCATAGCCTGACCTCAGGAGTGTGACTTTCTTAACAAAATCATTCTTAATCTTATAAAGCAATACCATTTTTATACACACACACACACACACACACACACACACACAAAGTGATTTTCCTTCAAAAATACTTTTATATATGGCATCCCATTGTTTTTACCTTTTCCCAGTTTGTAAATACATACTCAGAAAAATGTGTGGACAGTCTTGGAAGTTGGAAGCTGAAATGGAACCAGCTTTAAACTCACATAGTCTGCCTCTACTGACATATTTCCCCAACTGCCTCAAATATCAGTCTACATACTCATTCAAATCACTACAGTAAAACAAAAAACAAAGAAACAAACAAAACTCCCCCTTTTTTCCTCTTACTGCTCTCTCTTGGTGAGGTGGTCTCTGCCATGAATGGAGTCCTAATCTGATCATGTAAAAGCAGAATCCACTGCATAAAGGGCTAAGTGCATGCTCTTCCTATATAGTTTCTGCTAAAACTAGAAAATGACAGGTTTGTGGCTGGGAAGGACAAAGGCCTTAAACAGTTGTTGATTGTGCTGGAAGCCATGTTGTGCTGCTAGAAACGGCTCCAGCTAGATTCCTGTGCAAGGAGCCTACAACTTCCCAGTTCTTGTAAAATAAATAAATAGTTTCACTAGCTACTACCAATCAGAAATCCAGTTATTTACAGCCAGAAGCATTTCAGCTGATACAGCAACAATTTTGCAACACCTATCTTATAGCACTTACCAGCTGTGGCAGCAAGAAATAAATTAATGTATTAAATATGATTGATTGGAACAGACAATAAGCAATATTCTGTGAGACAAAATAAAGCATGGGGTCAGAAGTCAGAACCCAGTGAGCCAGAGCCCAGTGAGATGCTCAAGTAGGTGTGGAGTGAGAAATGATTTTTAAAGTGTCTCATTGAAAAACTCATTTGTGCAAAAAGGGGTAAGAGACATGAGATGAATATTTGTGTTGGTTTGAAAGAAAATGGCCCCTAAAGGGAGGGGCACTATTAGGAGGTATGACTTTGTTGGAGTAGGTACAGCATTGTCGGAGGAAGTGTCACTGTGGAGACAGGTTTTGGGATCTCATATATGCTCAAGCAGACCCAGTGTCTCAGACCACTTCATGTTGCCTGTGTGTCAAGATGTAGAACTCTCAGCTACTTGTCCAGCACCAGGTCTGCCTGCATACCACCATGTCATACATGGTGTCGACGGACTGAACCTCTGAAAATGTGGAACAACCCAATTAAATGTTTTTCCTTTGTAAAAAAAAAAAGAAAGAAAGAAAGAAAGAAAGAAAGAAAGAGAAGAGAAAAAAAAAGATGTTGATCCTGGTGAAGGCCAGAAAGTTCAGGTGTGGGTGATGTCTCATGCTGCATCATACAGATAGTATCAGAGCAGCAGGTGCGTGCAGGAGAGGTGAGTGAGCTAGGAAAATGGACACACCTTATTACAAGGTGCTTTCGGCCCTGTGAGAGAAGGTGTGCCTGGATACTCTCTAATCTCTCTGCCCCATTATGCTGGGGACCAAGCCTCAACACAAGTCACTTTTATCACAGCGTTATGGGTTTCCTGGGCTTGGAAGGTTCCTTGTCTCACATACACTGTCAGCCCAGTTCATGTCTCTGCCCCTCTGGTGTATTATGGCTGCTGGGAAATGGCTGCTCTCCAGAGCAGTAACATAGTTTTCCCTGCTGGAAATCTTGTTTTTGAGAGAGACAGGATCTCACTATGTGTCCTAGATGTAACTCGAACTCACAACCCTCCTGCCTCTGTCTCCCTGGTAGTTGGGAAGAGGAAACACACCCTCTATGCCTGATGGGAATTTTTGAAAGCCCTCATGGCATTAGAGTCCTGACGCCAGTTTCCTGTCCACACAGGTCAGCTGGACATCATCTCTATGGCTGAGACCAGCATGATGCCAGAGGAGATCGAGCTGGAGATGGCGAAAATCCAGCGTCTCCGTGAAGTCCTGGTCCGTCGAGAGTCAGAACTCAGGTTCATGTGAGTGAGTAGGGAAGCAAAGTAGAGGTGTGGAGGGCAGAGGCAGCCTGGAAAACATGGAGTGATTGAGCATCTTGTACTAACATCAGATCCTTACGTGCACCCAGGAAAACCCTCATGGATGCCACATGCTCAAGGAACTACTCAGTTTTCTTCCTTCCTCTCTCCTTCCCTCCCACCCTCCTTTCTTTTTCTTTCCTTCGTTCCTTCCTTCCTTCCTTTCTTGGTTTCAGTTTTATTCTTTTTAAGATGGTTTCTCTGTGTAGCCCTGGCTGTCCTGGAACTTACTATGTAGACCAGGCTGGCCTCAAACTCAGATATCTGCCTGCCTCTGCCTCCCTAGCTCTGGGATCAAAGGTGTTATCACCATGCCTTGCTTAAACTCAGTTCTCCTAATTAAAAAAAATTAAAGAAAATAGAATACTAACAAATTATAAAATTACACCCTGGTTTCTTTGGTGAGGGGAGATAGGATTGGGTCACCATGGAAGATAGTTAAGGTGGCATCTACAGTGTTCTCTTTCTGGAAATCACAGGGTTTCTGGGAGCCTTTAAAAAAATGTCTTTAGGGCTGGGCAGTGATGACACACACCTTTAGTTCCACCACTTAGGAGGCAGAGGCAAGTGGATCTCTGAGTTTGAAACCAGCCTGGTCTACAAAGCAAGTTCCAGTCAGGGCTACACAGAGAAACTCTGTTTCAAAAACAGAAAGAAAAGAAAAAAGGAAGAAGAAAAAGAAAGAACTTTTTCTTTATGCTATTTTAAGTGGGAAATACCAGACACTGGTTATATATGGCATTTCTCAAAAGCTCTGCTCTCTGGCCTGTCATGTGATAGGTGCATTTTGTTGTCCTGAGAAATGCTTCTAAGTTCCCCTCTCCTTGGAGCTGAGCTAGCCTGGCTTACCAGCTCACAAGTGACCATTAGAATATTAGCAGTGTGGGGAGTACTGTGAAAGCTACAACCCTGATGAAACTATGAAGGTTTGTATACACACACGTGTGTGTGTGTGTGTGTGTGTGTGTGTGCGCGCGTGCGCGCGCAAGCATGTGTGTGGGGAAAAGGCAGGTTCTTATTTTGAGTCAGAAGAAATAGAAAGCTGGTCTGCTGAGGGAACCAGCCATAGCATTCCAGGGAAATGGCACTATTGAAGTGACTAGTCTGTGAATGTACAGCCTCTTGCTCATTCTGAGATGTGGTATAATGTTTAGTGTAATTTTTAAATTACATAAAACACATATAAAGATATGCTTTGCACAAATATTAATTTTATATACAAAAGAGAATCCTAGATAATCTAGAGATGTGGGTATTGTCATCTATTTCTTGTTTTGTTTTGTTGTATGATAGTGTCTCCCTGTGTATGCCAGGCTGGCCTCTCAAATGCTGAGTACTAACATGTTAGGCAAGGCCCTGGGTTGAGTTCAGACTAGCTGGCTTCCAAAGCCACAGCTGAAGAGGCAAAGCTGGACCGCCCCTGGGCATTGGTGCCCCAAGTGCAGAAGGGATGAAAAAGCACCTTTCTCTAGGGCTGCCTGGTGACCTGGGTCCCCCTAGGTTCCAAGGTGTTGGAAGGAGTCCCTGTCTCCTAACTCTTTGCTGTGCTTAGATTCTAAATGCTCACCATGCAGTTGTTCAAACCCAGCTTTTATAAACATATTTTCTCTTGGGAGACCCTCTGCTCTGTCCCCGGGATTTTGTATGCCTCACCATCTTTGTCAGGTCCCCAAGAAACCTGGGACAAGGCTCATTCAGTACCTAGACCATACATTGTACTACACAGCCCTCTCTGCCTTATTCTCTGAGTGCCAGCACCCACGGACTCTCACAAGGAGTCTGGGGGGCAGTTTCTTTCCCATCCACAGCACTCTGATATTTTCACACCTTAGCTAGAGCCACCTGGTGCTGGGCTTCTGACAGACATTGGGCCCAGGGTTGCTGTCCTACAGTTTCTAGTTCTCCTTTAGCTGAGCACTCCTCAGCCTCCCCACCCCACCCCCACCCCATGGCCTAACTTTCTCTCATTGGCTCTACCTCTAAGTCCCCACTGCCTTCTAATAGCACCATCCTGGGACAAAACCTTTAACATGTCCTGAGAACATTCTAGATCCAGGATATAGAGTTTGGGACTTGCAGATCCTAAGCCAGGCCACCACAAACTGCTATGGAGCCCCATTTCTGCAAAGGCTCCTGGGGACCTCTGTAATGGTTCATTTTGATTGCCAACTTGACTGGATTTAGAATCAGCCCAGGGGCACAGCGCTGGGAGTGTCTGAGGGAGTGTCTATAGGGGTTAACTGAGGAGGGAGACCCATGTTCAATGTGGGCAGCGCCACCTGTTGGTCAGGGAACATAGGCTACATGAAAAAGAAGACTGGAGAAGCCACCTGGGCGGCAGCTCATCTCTGCTTCCTGATGGTAGCTGTGATGTGACCAGCTGTCTCATGTTCCTGCTGCCGAGCCTTACCAACTATGATGGCTGCTGCCACAAACAGTGAGCCCAAGTAAGGCCCTCACTTTTCTGCTTTTTGCCAGCTAGTCTGTCCTAACAGGAAAAGTAACTATGACACTCACAATATCCGTATTTCTTAGCCCTCCTGGGCCCTGGCACATACTAAGTGCTTCCTAACAGGATATATCAAGACACCAGACCCATGCGGTCAAGTTATACAGCATAGTCAGGTTCATAGGCCACAGTCAGATACATAGCCTGGTCAGAAAGGAGCCTCTGGTGGTGTGTGTTTCCCGATCTGAATTCCCAGTATGTCTCCTCTGTGTCTTTCTTTTAGCTTGCCCTCTGGCTTTGATTCTACAAAATGCCATTTTGAGATCTCTTTGCTGAGGTTTGTTGATCTTTATGAACTTTTCCTTGAAGAAGTTGGGGAGCCCCTGGGTCTCAGAGAAATCCCCTGCGGCAGCCAGAAGGTAGCGGGAGCTAATGGCTGGGCCTCTATTCCTCCAGGGTGCTCTTGTCTCTCCCATCCTGTCTGGTGCTACAACCTCAGGAACATCCACTTTCCCTTCATCCCAGTCAGGGATCACATCATTAGCTTCTAATAACTCACACAGTCCTTGGCTGCCTGGCTCAGCTCTCTGTTTCACATTCCTCCCTGTTCTGCTTATCTGGGTTCCAGAAAATTGCATACCCTTAGCCTCCTAGTGGGGTGGGCTGTTTATCTCCACTCTTCACCTGCTGGATAGATTTTCATAAAAGGGACATGTGGTCCACTTCTCAGCTTGCTACAGACGGTGGCAGCTTTTAATTCGCCTGAGGCAGAATGGCATCAGGCAAGGAAAATGGTCATGTGCAGGGCATATATCTCAGGCGTGGGGTCCTGGATTCTAAGATTTCATTTCCCTAGAGCCTTTTCACTTAATAACATAATGTTTGAGGGAGAGCTCAAGTCCTAAGAACCTGGCAGAGATCCCAGGAGATCCAGCAGATGCCGACACTGCAGAGAACATGCTTGAGGAAGATTCTCTGTGTATTGATGTATTGATTTTCATCACAGCTCTTCTGGCGGTTTGAAAGAAAATGGCCCCCAAAGAGAGTGATGCTATTAGAAGTTGTGGCTTTGTTGGAGTAGGTGTGGCCTTGTTGGAGGAAATGTGGGGTGGGCTTTGAGATATCTTTTCTCAAGTGTCACTCAGTGTGACAGTCAGTCAACTTCCTGCTGCCTTCTGGTCAAGATGTGGCTTTCTTAGCTGCAGCACCATGTCTGCCTGCACGCATCCATGCTCCCTGTCATGATGATAATGGACTGAACCTCTGAAACTGCAAGCGAACCACCCCAATTAAATGTTTTATTTAAGAGTTGCCCTGGTCATGGTTTCTCTGCACAGCAATAAGATGATATCACATACTCATTTTATAGATGAGAAACTGGGGCACAGGGAGGTCAAGTCACTTCCCCAAGCTTGGATGGGTTCTGATAAATAGATAATAGTGGTATAACCTGGGCTGTCTGAGGAGTGAGGGTAGGGGCAGATCAATGGTCTCAATCCCTGAGCTTCTTAATGTTTTTAGATCTAGTTTCTATTACAAACTGTGTGGCCTAGAACAAATACTTGCCCTGTTGAAGCCTCAGTTTCTTCGTAAGTGCAATGGGACGATGTCTCCCAGGAGTTCAGTAGCAAGAAGAAAACAGGCAAGACACAGATGAACATGGGCTGCTCTCTCCTTTAATCCTTAGTGCTGTGCTCTGGGGTAGGGTGGAGTGTGGTGATATTCTGTTTATGATCTAACAAAGCTTGCCTGAAGATCAGAATGCAAACTAGCCACACTAGCTAGCCATAGAGGCCAGGCAGTGGTGGCAACACCTTCAATTCCAGCATTCAGGAGACAGAGGAAGATGGATCTATATGTTAGTTCAAGGCTACCCTGAGCTAAAGGAAATTGATCCAGTCTAAAAGACAAGCAGAGCTCACACAAAGGTGATCTCAGCCCTTGGGATCTCATACCTTTAATCCCAGCACTACAGAGGAATATAAGAAGTCCGAGGATTGGTGGAGGTAAGAACTCTCTAAGCCACTTTGCTTCTCTGATCTTCAAGCAAGTTTTATTTGTTATATCATAAGCAAAATATCCCCATCGTGGAGCATCATAACGGCTTCCTCTCCTTCAGATTCCCCTCTGAAAGCACTTCCCCGGGAGAAGCTGGGGCTGAAGGGCTGCCCCAAGAGCTCTAATGATGGGCTGGCTTCAAATGTAGCTCTAACAAATCATGGAGTTGGAGGTCTAGCAGAGATGATAGAGTGCTTACCTAGATGTGAAGGAGTCCCTGGGTTCATCGTCTACACCACAGGACAGTAATCCTATTAGTAAAGGGTCAAAAGTTCAAAGCCAACCTGGGCTACATGAGATTGTTTCAAAACTGAACAAGTCCTACTGTATCACTGGGCCTGAACTTTATTATTCTTTTAATTAACAATCTGTATTTTTGTCTTCCTGTTAACCTATTAGGGAGAGCTTCAAGCTAAGAGCAAACCAAAATACAATG